CAAAGGAGCCTCCATCCGTGGGTCCCTGATCGCCCAGTGCCTGAGGCAATTGGGCAGTGGAGCGGCTGGAGGGAGGGGCACCTGTGGCTCTGTGCCCTCTGCCCTGCGACCACCCTCCCCAAGCCTGGCCGCCTCACACCTCTGCCCTCGCTGCAGGTCCTGGACTCGGAGCAGGACCCCGCAGAGCGCGTCCCCGAGGTGGAGGAGGACCTGGACTTGCTGTACGACACCTTGGACATGGAGAACCCCAGCGACAGTGGCCCCGACCTAGAGGACGACGACAGCGTCCTTAGCACCCCTAAGCCCAAGCTCCGGTGCGCGGGGGGACCGGACGAGGCGGGGGGAGCGGGTGGGGAGGAAGGGGGGTGCTCAGGCGCGGGCCAGCCTCGGGAGGACAGCACGCATGGAGCCCACAGGTCCCCGGGAACAGCGGGTTGGGTCACACTTGGGAAGCTGGATTCCAGGGGGTGTTGCCTGCAGGAGGCGGTGGGGGCAGTGAGGCTGGCTGTGGGTGCTCCCAGGGTGCTGGCGGCCAGGCAAGGCACCCTCACAGGCGGGCAGCCGGAGGAGAGGGCACACTCCGGGGTGAGGTGTGGCCGTCCCAGGCCCCTCCCTGCCTGCCGTGCAGTGAGTGATCCCGCCCTCGCTTGTCCACATCCCCACGTGGCTTAGTCACCAGGTGCTAGAAGTCCCGCCCATCATTCTAGTGTGAACTGCCCTCTGTGCCCAAGAACCTGTAAGGCCCTCCACCTCCACACGCCTCTGCCTGCGGACCGGCCTGTGGCTGCGTCAGCCTGGGCGCGGTTTTTAGGGACACCGTCCATCTCGGCGGAGCGGGGCTCGGGCCGCCGGCCGCCCGTGTCCTCCCTCGTGAGCTGGTTCTGGATGGGGCCTCTGGGGAGCTGCTCTGCCAGGGGTCCCTGCAGGGGCGGGGCTGTGCCCTCAGGTGCAGAGGGTCCTGGACAGTAACCCCGCCCTCACTAGGCCCTACTTCGAAGGCCTGTCGCACTCCAGCTCGCAGACGGAGGTCGGGAGCGTCCACAGCGCCCGAAGCCAGAAGGAGCCTCCCAGTCCGGTAAGTGCAGGGGGGCCGGTCCGACCTGTTGTCGCTGCTGGGTCACTCACACACCGAAGCTGGAACCCAGCGCTCAGGTGCCGGCTCTCGTGTGGCCCAGCTCCTCGCCCGGCCAGGTGACTGCCCTGAGCCCGCACCCACGGAATCCCAGCCTGTCTCGAGGGCACCCCGGAGCCCGGCCCCACCCGACTCCCTCTCCTCACAGGCCGACGTG